CCCACACAGACAGAGGGGATTCTTGGTGTTTAGACTGGACTGCAGACCTTTGAGGTGAATTCAGTCCAGTGATCACATGTGACATCATGACTCTTTTCAAGGAAGTTGAATGTTTTCAAAACGTATAGTGTGACTGTGTAATTGTGCTTTTAAAATCTTGCTGTAATATAACTTTAATACAAATATAAGTGAGATTACGCGGTACCTTGTGGAATAGTTGATCTGTGATAAGCCTTAAACAGGAGTGTTTACGAACTTGTAGCTTTTCTGTGACATTTAGATCATGGCCTTCTACATTTTTTTCAGTACAGTTCTCTTCCAGTGCCACAGTTGATACTCAGTAAATGCATTGAGGGCGCTCTTGCTCTTCCGCCATGGCTTTGAGCCGAGGAGGACGCACGTTGGTGAGCGTCCAGAAGGGAGGGGGTTTGTTCTTCATCGTTTGAACGGAGGCAGAATAGAGCGCCAGGGAGTCCAGAGGTTCGAGTCAGGGGGCCCCTGAAACTCAGAGAGGAGGAGGAGAGAGGAGGTCCTGAAAGGGACTCGATACCGCCCCCCCCGAAAAAGCTTGGAAGAATTGCGCTCCATCAGTGCGCCTTGCCTGCCAGTCGGAGTATGGGGAATGTTTTCCCCATTCATCCACGTTCCCTTTTTCCCCTCCTCCTCCTCTCAAACAAGCCAGTCGGTCTGTCAATGTGCTGCGAGCATTAGAGCAAGTCAAACCAGTGGGATTTTGAGGCAGCAAGACGAATGCGATAACGAATGAAGCGCTTTCCTCTGGTCGAGAAGCGACGCGTCCAGCTCTCCAAATGATGCGCTACATCAGATAGAGGTCAATCTCCAGCAGGAACTGATGCCCACAGTTCGCTTCTTCTTCTTACTATTTTTTAATCACTTCATAAGTTTAACGTTGGCCTTTGTGCGACGTTAGAGTGGAGGTGCTTTTCTAGCTCTTTGGTTTGTTTCTCTCAGTTTTCCTGCGTTATTTCTTGATTTTCTTTCTTGGATTTATAACCGATTTGGATTCTGGTTTCTTTTTTTATTATTTTCAACAAGTCTGTTGCTGAAGGATTTGCGGATTTACAACCCGTGTCTGTGCATTTTACAAAAAAAGGAGAATAAGGATTGTATTGCGCACGGACTGAGCCCACCGAGCATCAATATGTGTTTATGAGGATGGAGCTGTGGACACGAGTGGCATCGTTTTCATTTTAAACGCTTTACCTCCATAGTTTTGGTCTGATATCGGCTGTTTCCTTCTAACAGTGACATTTTCTTTATGGTCCAGCCTGATATGTTGGGAAGCAGATCTTATTGCGAGAAAACAAGGTAATGGGAGAGAAATCACACACAGTCGGCTCAGAGAACAAGGGAACATTGTTCGGTAAAAGACAATTAGGGCGCACTGAAAGGCAACATTAATAGCTTTTGGGTGGCGATAAATTTTGTGAAAATTCGATTTAGTGGAGTTATATGCGAGCAGAGGAGCACTGCTCTGGAAAAAGGACTACCTAATTGGAAAGTCATGGGATTGGCAGATAAATAGTTCGATCGTGGACGCGCAGAAAAACCGTCGGTTTTGGAGATCCTTACGCACGGATTGAACAAGTTTCTCCTGCGCATTTCACTGTGTTGTTTTTTTTTGCTTGAGCCAGTATACATTCGATGAATTTTGGATCCATGAGGTTGAACACAGCGGGCTTTCACTTCACACTTTGACTGTCTACCTAGAGCCTGATCGGCTGTGGTCTCCCCTTCATTGTTTTAAGACTCCTTGCAACAGAATTGAACACAGAAAATATTGTCAATAAAATAAAAAATGGGGCTACATATGCTAGGTGTTAGGGTTGAAATGGCGTGTCGAGGAAGTGAAAACGGATTGTGGATCCTGCTGGTATTCTTACTGGATTTACTGGGGACAACAGCCAGCAATATGGAGCCCATCTACTGGAATTCCCTGAACGAAAGGTAAGAGCAGTTCTCTTGCAGATCCTTTTAAATTTTACTGGCTGCCTAATTGCAGGTTTGAACTTGGAAGTTTCTAGCCCACGCAAAACAGAAACCCAGACGAATGATATGTTTAATTGCATGTTCGAAGAGTGAATTGCAACTTGAGCTGAGAAGAGGGGGATTTAAGCAACAGTTAATGAATGCACGCAACTTTAACTGCACTAAATGCCTCGTGGTGATGGAACATGGCATTTCTAAAAACACCATAAAGTTCGATTAAGGGCAGAGGTTCACTCCAGCAGGCCGGCCGCAGACGACCCCTCTGAGGGCGTTAATGATTTTTATTAAGGTTTCTATTTGGCCAATTCGTCACACTTTCTTCTCAAAATCACATCACTTCGTCCATTATTGTTTGTAGCAGAGGTTCAGTGTAAGCAGTGTAATTTGATAAATGTAGACACCTGGAGTTGAACGAGGCTGCTCTGCTCCACAGCTGTTCTGCATTTGTCACACTAGCTCTGATTGTTGTGGATAATCCAGCTGTAGTTGCTGGAATTGGTGGAGTCTCTACAAGCTCCAGGCGAAAAGATGGAAGCGGTGCGTCCGATAATAAAGACGTGTGTGTGTGTGTAAGAGAGAGATTCTCTAATTGCTGTTGCTGGATGACCTTGATTAAAGTGCAGGCCCCGGCCCACAGGCCTCTCACACACACTGCCTGCCCATTCCGGCCACATTCATTTGCATTTTTTCCTTTCCTCTGGAGAATGTGTGAGGCATTAGTTGAGGAAATGTCATTTTAAACACCTCTCGGCCGTTCGGCCTTAACGACCGACACCACTTTTCTCACACCTCAGCCAATTTCCGAGTGTCTGAATAGACACCCGGGGGCGTTGAGAGGGGCTGGAGAATAACAAGAAGGCTTATGTGAAGGTGAAGGGTGGTGGGGAGTCTGAGTGACACCAGACTTCAGTTCTGCAAAATCCTGATTACGTTTCTGGGGGCAAAATGGAGCCATGGTTTTATTTTTAATATATTTATTTATTTTACCTTGATAGATAATTCAACCATCATCTTGAGGGAACACTAATCCAGAATAACTCAGATATTCTAACTTTGCCTTTACTCACTTTATGATAGTCAAACACTAGAAAAGCTGCAGGAGCAAATTTCGACTCAGGCTTGCTCATGGCAGCCGTCCCCAGCTCACACCCATGCCAGGGGCTCTTTCAGAGACTAACAGGGTTTTAATCTGACGGCTATGGCCTGCCCGGTTTTTCCCCTCTGCACAGATGTGACTCTGCGTGCCCCCCCGTGTGGAGCCAGGCAAGAAGCCCTTAATGAGGGCTTTTTGTCAGCAGTGGGTGGATTCACCCAACAGGGAGTAGAGTTGGACATGGGAGGTAATTTTCACTGAAGCTGGCAGCCAGGGCTTTTGAGACCTTACAGGTGATTCCACGCCATTGTCTCCTAATGGCGTTTACTGTTAGGTGGGTGTCAGGGCTTAGTGCATGTGGGCCTGTCTGGCAATTAGAGGGGTGGTGGCTTGTGACACCAGACTCCAGTCATTTGTGCAGATTTGCTCACTCATACAGTATATTCAAAATACAAAGCCTATTGTATATGATGAAGCTTTCCTTCAGTTTACTTGCTTGGTTCTTTTACTAACTTGCATGTACTTGTTTTTCTCACTTTGTACACAACAAGAGCAGTACTTCGGTTTCAGCTGCCTCAGGGCAGAATTGCTTTTGGCCCTGGGCTGAAATATGTTAAGAGCCCGGGCTCGTCCAAATAGCGTGCATCTTGCAAGGACGAGGTCCCGAGCCCACATACATCTGGTCTGTACTACTAAAACGAAGTGAAAAGTAAGGAGAAGCAGTAGTCTGTATCAGTCAGCTGCAGGAGTGCATGTATGGTTCCCATCCTGTCTGTGGAGCAAATGGGCTGTCACATTGTTAACCCCCAGACCTCTGCTGGATGCACTGCTTTGAAGTTTTGACTGTCCACCTGCAGCTTCCCTCCATCTTCCCACCTCCACGAGCAATTTCCAGTTCCTTCTCTTCCTCGGCCTCCTCTGCCTTCTCGTTCACCTTTGCCACCCTCTTTCCTACGTCTTTCTTCTTCTCATGCTGCCTCTTTTTTAGAGCTCCTGTCTATCTTTTCCTTCCTCCTGTCACTGTTCCATCTTTCTCCTCCTGTCATCCCCCCTCCTCAAACCTGCTCCAGTGCAGTGACCAGATGTAGCAAATTGGAAACGTGTCGCATCCAGCCATTAATTACAGAGATATGGCAGTCATTGATGCACCCGAAGATGTGACAGGGGTGATGAGGAAAAAGAGGCACAGGATACAGATGCTTCACTCTGCTACCTGATTAATTCCTGGAATGCATAGTGAAGTTATAAATGAACAGACACGTAGAAGTTAGAGCAGTATAAAAATGTTTACAGTCATCAAGTCATCCATCGCTTTATTTGACTGCTCCATCAGTTGAAATTACTATGGTCTGACAGAAAGCAGAGCGACAACAGTGCTCAGGAAGGAATCTAAATGGACAGATGCCGGGAGGTGAAAGAGGAACTGGAGTGATATAGATGTGGCGGGGTAGAGACGGTCCTAACCCTAAGTGAATCGATACTGGTTAAGACTCAAGTGCCAATACAGGTTCTGCTTCAGGAAGGAAGAACTGAACCAGAACGATCACCTTGGAAAGACCCCCCCCCCCCAAAAAAACATACTTATCTCAGCATCTGCTATTATTGGCCTTACACGGCTGCTCTAATGAAAGATCGAATCGCACATTACTGCTCAAGTGGAGTGGGTGCTGGGGTGGCAGGCGACCCACACAAATGAGAATCGTAATGTTGGTGGACATGCACGCAAGGCAAAAGAATTCAACAGGAGAGAATTTTGGTTTTGGTTACTCCTCTGATCCCAGCATATGGAGTTTTGTAGCTTTTGGCCGTTTTGCAAGTTTGATTTCAGTGTCTGTTCTTAAGGCCAAAACCTCTCACTCTCCACTCTCTGTCTCTGCTTCTCTCTGTCTTTCCACTTTAGTATACGGCTGTAAGTTACTGTGAACGCCTGCTGAGGGTAGACATCTCCTTGCTCAGTGCTTGCGGTGACTTGTAATACAACTATTTCCCCCTAAGATCCATATTATAATTTAACCCCACCCCTGTTCTCGTTTCTCAAGATTTCATTAATCACTGACTAATTGGCGCTGGATAAAAGATTGGCTAAGTGTTTGGACTACAGAAAACCAGAGAAAAGTCTAAAAAAAAAATCATTGGAAATCTTCAGGAGCATTCTGGGACTGAGCCCAGAGAGTGGAATAAGTGGTAGTAGGTCAAATGCGGTGTCATATTAAAGGAGCAGCAATCCACTACTGGTTTAATGATTGTTTGTATGTTCGGAGCTCCATGCCCAGTTTCACCTGGGTTAAATCCACCCATTCATGAATAATGCATGCATGCATCAAGGCTTTTCTGGGCTGTGTGGATAAGTAAGCAGACGCCTAGCGAGCCTACACACATCCTTAGGCTAAGTAATCAGAGAATAGGTTTTTTATTTTAGTTTTAGGAAAGAAGGAATGGAAAAAAGGGAGACAAGGAGAGAATATGAACCATATTGCTTGAGCCTTTCTCTCTCTCGCTCACTTTCTCTTCCTCCCTCCTTGGTGAAAAAGAGGAGTGTGTTTAATTTTACAAGATGAGAGCAACAGGAGCTCCGAGGAAAGGTTTCAGCTGATGTGGCGGAATGGAAAGGCCTAGGGAGGGAGAAGAAGAACCAGTCCAGCCAGAGGCTGCAATCTCTTTCTTTCTTCGTTTCTGTCTTTGTTTACTAAGGCAGGCAGACGGACACACAGGTAGGCAAGCTGGACGGTGAAAATACAGACATGCGAACTGACAGGTCTATTGCAGCCGCACATTCTCAACAGATGCCTGCACGCATATGCTGAAGTGAGCCTCAGGGGGCTCGACCTCCCCTCCTCCTCTGTCGGACATGTGTAAAGAGTGTGTGGTCCTAATGTATCTCCTTTGTTGCATGTGCAATTGAGCATTAAACACACTGCTACCACTAGACAGTAAACACAGGAGAGCAGATGTGTGCGCACACACACATTATACACACAGGAGAGGTGAGGAAATTGGCAGGCATCACAGACTGTTGTTCCACTCAGAATTCATTCATTATTTTATCACTCGATTATAAGTTTATTTGGCAGAGGCGATGCACATTCATCAACATCATAACAGTCATAAAGCAGCGGTGTAAAAATGCTGGGGTTAGCTAAAGAACTAATTTACTTCCCCAGTCCCTTGGGTTTTGGAAGTGACTTTGGGATTTTGGTAATTGTTAAAAGTGCTGATGATTACGATGGAGGAGATTAAAAGCGGGTGCTAGATCAGAATGTTGGAACACATACAGAAGCATTCAATCTTCTTCCCTGGAAACATGCACACAAACACTCACACATTCACAGCGGTACTAGTGTTAACAGTAATCCGGGCCATAGGTCTGAGGGGGTCACATGTGTCCCAGCAGCACTGGGCAGATTGCCCTGAGTGGCTGAACCCAGGGCCTCTTAGCAAAGCTAGCCTACACACGCACACACACTGGGCTCTCATTAGCTTGCTTCCCAGCACACCGTGCCTAAGCAGGATCATCCAATGCTCCTGGCAGCATTTGGACTGGGCCTGGTCAATCCTCCTCCCCCGGGTGACACCGAGAAGTAGACTGGTGTGATGGGAAGCTGGTATGAAAGTGTCTTCTGGGCTTGCACTGCAATAGCTTCTGTGACTTCGGCATCGTTCCAGATAAACGGGATAGGAAACAGGAAGGAAGTGACGCTGTTGTTATTTCGTGTGTGTGTGTGTGTGTGTGTGTGTGTGCATGCATACCCTACATCTGTGTGATTCTTTAGTTTCTATCAGGAAATGTGTTGGTTCATGCTGCGAATACTAAACTGTACCTAAAGATTTCCAAGGTCTAAGTCATGCTGTATATGCACTGTGTATA